ATCCAGAGTTCTTGTACTTCTCCAACGACCTAGTGTGCCAAGTATCGTTCCTCCTTTTCAGTCTTTCTCAATGAGCACAGGTGACGGCGACGCTTCCTTATCATTATCTTGTTTGACCCGATCTGTGGTCTGTGGTGTGCTGTCTGGCCTGCAGACGACAACATTCCTTCCTATTTAAGCTATTTATCATGCCTCTTCATCGGCGGAATCTTCGTTCTCAGCCATTATTTAAGCTCCTCAAGCGACATGCTTGTGTTCAGCTTCTCTCTCCGTAAAATCTCGGTATTATTGAAAACATTACGGTTTTTATTTTTTTAGCCAGAGAGGTTGTTAGGTGGGATACTTGATTGAAATCGAATAGTAAGGGGTGGTAGACTGACCTCTAAAGACGACGATCTTGTCGCACGTCAGGCCGTTTCAATGAGGTCTTCCTCCTAACAATCTCTCTGACACAATAAACTAAAAGCGACATGCTTACGTTCTAACTTATGGTCGTTGGCTATTGGTTACAGTTAGAGAGCTTCAAGCACACCTTGTATGGTTCAGTTCGCTGCGGACGAAGGGGCGTATCGGGCGGAATGAGCTTGGCGCGGTGCCCAAGCCGTCCTCCATCACTGCTGAAGCGAGCAATTGACAACACTGTATCACCTTGTTCGTTCTAGTCGTTTTCTACCAACTGTTGTCGCAAACACGCTTCAACAACTGGCAAAGAACGGATTTGGTGCCGTGGCCCACTCATACTCCCTGACACGCCCCTTCATACGCAGTGAACTGGGGTTGCTAAAAGGTTGCTCACAGAGTGTTGCTAGAGTCCATTGAGGTGAATAGGGTTTAGATTCTAAACATCAATCATTACACATCTGGCCGACTGTTCAAAGAACTTCTCATAGCCAGCATTCTATGAATAACTTGATTACTTTCTACTTTCGCCGAGGTACTCTTTGTTTTGTTCAAATGGACTACCTTTACAAATATCGATTGGGAACTAAATGGAGCTCAATGTGACAAGTAATGAGTCGCTTTAGGTAATCGCCTTGAAGGCAAGTGGCACGACAAATCCCTTGGACGTATAGGATTAATGCGCTCAGAACAGTATTCGGCGCCCTGAGCAGCTTTTGCGTGGCGTCTTTACTAAGGTGCTCTTATAGCGCCCTATCAAGCTCCAATATACCGCCCGACGTCCACCGCTCCCGCCCGCCTACAAATATCCGGACAGATCGGAAGCGGATGCGCTGCTGCATGGATATACGACCGTATGTACCGTAGCTGTTATTGGCCCGATGCCAACGGGATACTCCGAAATTGCTTTCTAAATAGTCGTGTAGAACCAAGGCTATTTCGGAGGTTTTTTCACGTCGCCTTTTGACATTTTCCTCTTTATATAGCACTTCCGCTACCATTTCAGATCCAAAAATCCACCAAGGCATCAAGTTATCTGCTTCATGCCTTCAAGCAATGTGTTAGTTGGAAGAATTGTTCGCAGAAAACTTACTGCTGGAATGGTCTTCTTACCTGTGGCCCCGAAAATCGATCGCAGTTTACAGTGTTCCTTTTTGCCAGCAACAGGGCAACAGATCGACCGATTCTTTGGACCAGTTGACCAAATCATTGCAATAAGAAGTCACCATTTTGAAATCCACAATGCTCTTTCTCCTTCAAATATTGTCTCATTACATTTGACTTCCCTTTTGTGCGTGCTCGCTTCAGTGGTTTTGAACAGTCGGTGAACTTTCAGTTGGTTTGCAGTGATGGGAGTCATAAAGGCTGTTGTGTTCGACATGGGTGGTGTGCTCATTCCTTCTCCGTTCGAATATATAAAAAGCAAGTTTTCTCATACTTTGCAGGGTTGAATATTGATAAACTACCTGGTTTAACTTGGAGAAGGAAACAATAAGGCTAAATCACTATGAGGGCGAGTGCATATGATGCCTTTTTGGCGACAATGGTTTGTTCTAGTGAGCCTGATCTGAAACTAAATTGCAGCTGCGGTGAGCGTCGCAAAATCATGTCCTCATAGAGCAATTTTGCAAGTAGACTTCTGATGATGGCACGAAAATTATTGTCTTAATCGGCAAACCAGAGATCAGGGGATTCCCCAACGGGGATTGTTTTGGGTCACTAGAGGAGGGGGTCGAATATGGTCGGGGAATTCTTCGATAAATGATTTTTCTTGTTTCACGGATGCTATAAGGGGAGGTGTGGTTGCGTTCTGATAAAAATTTGCGGTTGTTGTTTTTTGCGGTTTTTCCCGTTTTACATGTGCGACCATGTGGAGGGAGCTAAGGGAGGGGGGGGGGTCGTATCAAGCTACCCTTCAGGAAGGGAGGGGGAGGGGGTCGTTCGGACTCGACCAAAAACCGCACCTACTGATTTGTCCTGGCTAGAGCACCCTTCCCACCGCTTACTTCATCTCACTATCAGATTGGCATCATTGGTGGAAAAGGACGCCGTGTCGGCACTCAAAGACATGGTACGCTCACACATTGAGGGTGTATGTGACTATCAGCCCCCAGCTGTCGATGTGTCGTGGTTTCCCCGCCCGAAACTGCACGGGGTTAGAGTACAGGGCCGTGGGAAAGTCTAATTCGTCCATGCTCCGCCTACCGTTTATGCTAACAGCCGTTCCGCGCGGCGCGTGTCGCGTGCGGCCCTCTTGGCACTTTGCCAAGTCCTGTAATTGCGCTTTGGAAATACAAGTAGAACGCAATTTCCTGATGCGGATAACATTTTAGGTGCAAAATAAGAACCGAAGATGATGACGAGGGCTAGAACTCAAGAGCAACTGTGCTGCTTCTGCAATATCCCTCAGAGGCCGCGCATTCCCACAGAACATGACAATAAAAACGGCCTAAGCGTTCCACTCGTTAGTTTAATACAAGCAAAACGCAATTTCCTGATGCGAATAACATTTGAGGTGTTGCTCATGCTCAAAGTCCGAATAGAAGGTGATGAAGATGACAAAGGCTAGAAATGAAGAACAACGAATGTAGATGTAAATAAAACAAAAATGAAAAAATTAAGGAAATGCAAATTAATTAAAATCGCGTGTAAATTTCTGCGATCCGGCGCGAATTCCGGCTCCAAAGCCATAGAAATACTTTAAACTAACGAGTGGGACGCTTAGGCCGTTTTATTTTCATGTTTTGGGAATGCGCGGCCTCCGAGGGATATTGCAGAAGCAGCACAGTTGCTCTTGAGTTCTGGCCCTCGTCATCATCTTCGGTTCTTTGCAGCACCTAAAATGTTATCCGCATCAGAAAATTGCGTTCTAATTGTATTTCAAAGCGCAATTACAGGACTTGGCAAAGTGCCAAGAGGCCGCACGCGACACGCGCCGCGGACGGCTGTTAGCATAAAGGGAGTCTGCGCCGCAAGTTGCATTTTGGGCGGAGCATGGACGAATTAGACTTTCCCACGGCCCTGTACTCTAACCCCGTGCAGTTTCGGGCGGGGAAACCACGACACATCGACAGCTGGGGGGCTGATAGTCACATACACCCTCCATGTGTCTTGCCCATGCCCATCACACGCCACATAATTTCTAGCGTTTCTTGAATCAAAGAGAGAATGCTATTTGAGATCGAAGCAGCGAGAAATGCCGGAAACCCGGAAAAGTGACCGTTAATCTCATAATCTCATAAGTTGGCTGTTCAAATATTCAACCCGAAAAAAGCGCTGCACTAAAAGTCAGTAATAAACAGACCACTTTTAGCTCAATAAAGACGCAGAGGCCACGTCATTTGCTATTCCTTGCAAAACCCTATAGTACAGTCTTGTGGGATGAGAGGCTTGTCAGGAGCACTGGATATGGCCCGGCGCCAAGCTTTTCACCAATTTTTTGAGCGATTCCTAGACGCTAGCACTTGGCTGCTGTGTCTCTACGCTTCTACCAGCGACGAGCGATCACCAGCGTTCCGAACGATTCGCAGCGTCAGCGACTAGGAAAGGTTAGATACCGATCTCGCGTCTTCCAGCGTCTGCCAGTGTCTACCAGCGACCAGCAGGGTGTCGAGGTCAAGGAAGGCATAAGTATTGATCTAGCGTCTGCCAGCGTCCACAAACAACCAGGAGTGGAGAACATGGGGCGATAGCAAGGTACAGCTCTCTGCTACTCTTTTATCCCCCCCCCCATATTCTATCAGCTGTCTATGCGCCTATCGTCCCATACACTCCACTCCTGGTCCCTGGCAGACGCTAGGTCGACATCTATACTTTCTTACTCGCTGAGATGCCCTACGCTCGGAACGCTGGTGGACGCTATCGGTCGCTGATGGACGCTGCCGCAAAGTATGAACGCGGCTGCGTTTTGAACGGCTAGGAAACTATAGTATCGTTCTTGCTGTTTAGGCGACTAATAAAGTATCGACATCGATCTAGCGTTCGAAGCGTTTTGAGCGTAGGCCAAGCGCCAGTGCCAACCGCATTCTTCCTGGCGAACGTGATGCTATCCATTGCATGCGCTTTTTCAAGGTATCCAAGGAAAGCAGAATGAGCATGAGCGTAGTCATTACAAGACGACACGCCGGGTTAGGACTATGCTTCACCAGGCAAACGTGTAGGACAACATAAAGTGTAAGGTAGGTACTAATAGTGGGCGGTAAACCCGCTGCGCTAGACTCACCCCAAACTTGGGACGAGCATGCTTTCTCGTCACTCACTGTGGAATCGCGAAGTGGGTGGGAAATTTCTGAGATAGTAGGCCAGTTTACCTGGGCAAGGAAAGAATCATACAAACTCTTTGAGCGCGGGGTCTGTCCTTGAAAGCAGTGCTCACCACCATGCTCAGCTTGTCAATGCCATCAATGGATGTGTCTGTTGTACCGCATCATTCACAATTCAAACGGGATACCGTCGCAAACTGATTACGCTTGAATTGCAGTCGGAAATTTATGGTGGTAACTTGTAGAATAATCAAAAAACATCATAGAAGAGAGAAATTGATCGGAGTCATTTTCAAGGTTGAATGATGCAGTTTTTCAGTGATCGAAAAGGAGAAGGGCATGGAGTCAGGATCGCTTGTTACTTCCCTGTACAAACCTCCAATTTTCGAACACTACGAGGCACTGGAACGGGGCGAAATCACTGCCGAAGATTTTGACCCTATATTTACGCACTTCTTCAACAAATCAGTATGTCTTTAAATGTCGCTCTTTTTTCCTCTTTCTGTAGGTTGATTGATTTCATGTGATTTCAAGTTGTACCACAGAGGAATTTTTTTGGGATTTTCGACAGCTCAACGAATGAATTATCTGCAGCAGAACCCAGGCAGGAACAACTGCGATTGCCGTGCCAGATTTTAGATTGGGCTGCTCTTGCCTTTATGGAAGGCGACCTCTTTTCTACTACAGGGGGAGGGGCAAAAAAGACACTTCGACCGAGTCACATATCAGCAAAGTTTTCGCAGCCCAGACAGAGGACGTGGATACGAGTACCAGGGCGGAAGATACCCAAGATGTTCCTCGAGCTCTCGTCCATCACCTTCATGTACACCAAAATATGAAGCCATCTCCAGTCGCAGCCTGGAGAAGGCCTATGGAATTCACGTCACCTCCAAACAGCTGCGAAACTTCTTGTATGGAGTCACCCATGGACAGCTACCTGGAGACCAGCACTCTTGATCTGGAAGACCTCCAACATCGAGCAGCTCCGACAACGTCGCCACGGTCCAGGATATCATCTTCACCGCAGTCGCCAAGGCGCGGGTTGATGGTATGGACCGGAAGTCCTGGAATGGAAGACCGATATTTTCTTCGTGGACCCGGACTGAAGGTGAACGCTGACGGTTACATCGAACAACTCGAGGAGAATATCCTGCCTTCATGTCGTCGCCTGTACCATCTTGGAAACTTCGTACTGCTGCAGGATTGGGTGCCAACACGAATGACGTTGGGAACCTGAAGAGATGGAATATCCAAGTGTGTCACCAGACCTCCTCGATTACCGGCTTCGGGCGGAGCTCAACAGGGTCTACAGTGGCGGAGAAATCAACGACCTCGCTGAACTCAGGCACCGAATCACGGTCGCGTGGCAGAATCTCTCGATGGCGTTCGTCCAGAAGGCTGTGGCGGAGTTTCGTGATAGTGTACAATGTGTTGTTGAATTTGGTGGTGGAAATGTCCAATCAGAATTTAATAAAGTGTAAGTTATATCGCCTCGAAATTCGAGGAAAAAAAGTGTCTTTTTGGATCCCCTGTATATGTTATGACTACCGTTGTTATATGATTGATCATTGTGAAGTATATTTAGCATAGCCGAGATGTAGCAGTTATACCTCTTATCAACACCATCATTGATAAGCTTTTTCACACAGGAATGATCAAGGAAATGGAAGATATTATCAAGGTGCGTCACCGTTATTTTCTTGGAAAACCTCTCAGTACTTCGAATACTATTTCCTTGAAGGATCTACGGGCAGCTGGTATTCGTACTGCTCTGATGACAAACAACTTCTTCGCAGATCGTGCTCGTCGTACACCAACACTCCCGAAAGGCTTTGAAAAGCACTTTGACGTAGTGGTGGAGTCCTGTAGGTCAGGGATGCGGAAACCGGAGGAAGTTATATATCGGCGAGTTTGCGAAGCGTTGAAGGTCAGAAATAATTTCGTGGAAGCACAGTTCTACGAGAAGTCCTGAAGTCTTCTTTTCAGGTAATGCCAGAGGAGTGCGTGTTCTTAGACGATCTTGGTCCAAATCTCAAGCCAGCTAAAGAAATGGGCTTTACAACTATTAAGGTAGAATCTAGACGTTGAAAAGTAAAGGCACAAGGCACTGTAATATGATACTCCAAAATGGTAGCAGGGGTGCTATACAGAGAAAAAATGGCGAAAAAGCGAAGTAAAACGGCCGGAAGACCTTTGTTCTACCCGACTCAGAAAGCGATTCGGACGAGTTGCTCGTTGATCGTGGCAATAACCGCTACACTAGAAACGGCTACATGTATGTACTCATCTATGCATCAACAACGCTTCATATCAATCCTTCGCTTCATATTGTACTTCGCAAATGAAGCGATACGAGCATCAGCATCGGTCGTCCATTTGTGGGTAGGCGGACGCGGTGGCCGTCCGGGCCGGTAGGTACCATGCACCTTGATAGGGCGCTATTATGGCACCTTCTCTGGAAAAGGCGCCACGCAGCGCTTACACAAGGAAGCCGATTTCAGTCCTGCTAGGCATATTAGTCCTACACTTCTCGGGGCTTTATCGTGCCAATTGCCTTTAGTTGCTCAACAACGTAGAAGAATTGCTTCAAAACTTCAGGTCAATTCTACTGCTCAAGCTGTCGCTGATCTGAAAGCGGTACTCAAAGACGTGTTCGATTTCCCAAGAGGAACGAGGGAATGTTTACCAAGTTCGTAATTTTGTACTTTCATCTGCTAACAATATTAATTATTAATTAATAATTAGGCAATGTGTTGTTTGTCCTACAAAATGTATTAGTTCATAAAGTATTCGAATAATGTTCTTGCATGCACGAATTTGCGCACACCCGAAATCCCTGAGATGTGGTAGACGTGGCTGCGTACTTCAACAAAACATGATAGTGGCTGTGCTTTTGGAGTGACATTTGCAACTTGACGGCATTGTGGTCATGTCTCTGTCCAACACTGAACAAGATGACAGTTGTCCCAAACTGAAATATCCCACGAGTAACCCATTCTGTGCCATGTTCAAATGCCACGCCTACTCTGTCTCAAGGATGAGGAATGTATTACGTGAGAAAGCGCGTTATCGTGATGTCTGCTGTTACTTCGCGTCGCGGTTGTTTGAGGGTCTCACGGCTTCTCGTCTAGCAAAGGTCTTCATTCCGCAACTAGCTGTCCTTCAAGCAGATCAAGACAAACCGTGTACTCACTTCCGTGGGTCTTGGTGCTTGGCATGTGCGAGGTGAATGGGTACGCAGCTGCAATTGCGTGCCACATAGCTCGCCTGCGCTGCCGCACGGTCGACCACCTGCCTACCCATAGTCAACCGCACTGGTTGTCTGCGCTCTCTCACTTCTAGTTTCCTTTACTGCTGAATGCGTGTTTTGCTGTGGGATCTTGGCATCAACGCTGCACACTGAGGACAGCGCGGGCGGAGTATGGAGATGCACTCGGGTACCACCACCCTCCAGTCCCGTTCTCGAGCACTTTTGAGCTGGGGAAGTGAGACGCTGCTGCAGCTGCATACCCATTCATCTTGTACTTCGCAAGGACTGTCCTCGCAAGTGAGCGTTCATTTCGTCTTTGAGGAGGGTGGAGCCGAGGACCACACTTTTGAGTGGCATCAGGTACAGTCTGTGTAGTTGCGGACCCTGCTCATAGTTTATGGAGTGGGGTGGATGTCAGAACGAAGGCACAGTAGGCAGACGTTCAGGTCGAAAAGGCCTGTATCAAAGATGTTTTGGTCTTCACCATGCTTTTTCGACCTCGGCTTCAGTCCGCACTTGTTGAGAAGCGATATACACAACCTCCACTTGAATGGTGTCTTGTTCGCTGTTGTCACACGGGAATTTAAAGGCAGTTGGCACGATGGTTTTCCACTCGGCCTAAAATGCTAGTAGGGCGCTATGTAGTGGGGAAATGGCGAAAGAACGGAGTGAAACGGTCAAAATCCTGCGAAGAAAAGCCTCCGTTCTCAGTGACTTGAAAATCGATTTCGGACGAGTTTCCCGTAGGCATCTTGCCAATCGGCTGCATATGTGTACCCATATATGCATGCAGCATCACGGCCGCTTCATACCAATCCCTTTGCTTCATAATTTGCTCAGCAAATGAATGAATACGAGCGTCAGGAACGGTCGTCCGTTTGTGGGCGGGCGGGCGAGGAAGGCGTTTGGGACGGAATGTTGTTGCTCGATAGGGCGTTATAGGGGTACCCTCCTTGGAAAAGGCGCCACGGAGCGCCTGTCCGAGGTCACGGAATTCTGTTAAGCCAGTCGTATAAATCCTACATCTGTATAGCGATTTATCGTGCCAACTGCCTTTAAGAGGAAACAAGGGTCATGCGGCAAAGCAGATCCTCGACTTTTCGTTCTTAGTAGAAAGCTATGTAACCTAGATCTGCAGTGATCTCCTCTAAGTAAGCACCCTGCGCATATCGCATGA